CCGGCATGCATTCGCTAGTATCTTGTTTCGCTGTAAATCACAGTAATCTTGCAGTTGTGGAAGTATTTATACGGATGCTATGACCTTGGATGCGCACGTAACATGAAGATGCTGCGGGCAAATAGGGGGGGGTGTGGGTAATTCTAGGCTTGGCGAAACGGTGCGACCCTGCCATGGGGCTGCAGAAGCCGTGGTTAGAGTAGGTAAGACAACCGTCTCAATCCCGCTAGTGCACAACGCCCTGCTCCCTGTGCGCGGGCAGCGTCTGCGCACATGCGGGCTGCGGACAGCTGGGCATCTCCAGCCACAATTGGAATTCCAGTTTAAGGCAAAATCTATGGAAAGAGATCGGCTGCCTTTCCAACACCTGAATAATAATAATAACAATCATCATCATCATCATCATCATCATCAACATCATGGGTGCAGCACGCCGCAACCACACCTGAGCAGCATGTTGAATTACGAGGAGGCACATTGCAGCCGCATAGCACTTTTTGAAACATGCAAAACGTTTCTCAGACAAACACAAATCAGAAAAGCTTCATGGAATTTCATATCATGATGCTGATAGGAGGCAAGCATCAGCACATCATTGGAGGTTCATTTCTCCATTTTTGGGCTTGCCTGTGTCCCCTATTGATTTAGCCTTGGCACAAGAAAGGCTTAATTATTACCCAGCAATCATCCAAAATGGTCTTTGTGGTGGGGGAGGCTTCAAAAGCTCATGTATCTTTTAGGCATTTTGAGGCCGCATTCATGTCGACGATCCAAAGGGCCGGTTGGAAAAGAGGTCCAATGATGCGGGGTCACCGGTACCTAGGGGCTTGAAGGGGTGCTGGATCCTCAAGAGGGAAGTGGGAGGCGCATCGATGATCATGATGCTGGGTTCTTGGCGGCTGCTGTGGCCTTCAATGTCCTAACATGTGTTGCAAACCGCAGCCAATTGCTCAAAATGTGAGTTTTCAGAAGTATCTGGGGCTGTACAGCCATGACCCAAGCCAAACCCTGCAATGCGCGTATTGCGCATTGGTTTAGAGGTCATTTGCAGGTGTTTCCAGAACTTTGGGAGCTCCCATGCTGCCATTGTACAACACTTTACCCTACTAGGTATGTCAAAATGTTGTCCGTGAATTGCAAAATGTAAAATGTGTTGGCTTTCTCATGATTATTACTGGTCATACCTTGACTAATCGTTTGTAGCGTGTTAGTATTAGTATGAACGTCATTACAAGTAATACGTCTTACCATTGTATCACGACTGTTGATTACTTTGGTTATTGGTTCAAAAAGTCTTGTTTATTCGCATTTCTATCCCTATTATCACTTTGATTTATTGAGCTTTCGCAGGAGCATTCTAACAGATTGAGCTCTCGCATGGAGCTGTTTCATATTTTGACACCACATGCACCAAATTGAGCTCCCGCAAAAGGCGTCCTCAAGTTTGGCTCAAAGTTGGGCTCTCGCGTGGACCGTCCTCACATTTTTGCCTACAGAATGCCCAGTACCAGCCAAAACCAAAAAAATACATCGAACAAACACAAATATAGTTAGATAAATTTTCCATGAAAAACGAGGACAGGGCGCTCAGTTCCATTCTCCCCTCAGGTGAGAGGAGGTGGGGGAGTTGGGAATGGGCGCAATAGGGGAGGTAAGAGGCGAGGGGGGGTAAGTGTAAGAGGTAAGGCGTGAATAGTTGGGCGCATTTGTCAGCCAAGAAATAAGCTGGGCCCAGTTAGACATGACTAAATGAGATAGGCTTCAAAACAATTTTGCGCGCTCCTGGCAGGCAAAGTTCCCTGACAAGGTTCGCTTTGTCTGGCTGGCAACCGAACCTCCGGCAAGGTTCCCAACATGTTGTTTGAATTTCAAGAAACGCGTTTGCCGATATTACAGGCTGTCCCCTGGGCCCTACCCGGGAGTTTGTATAAGGAGTAATAGGAACTGCCTGCCCAACAAAAGTGGCCCAAATTCACCTCTGCTCAACCCATCCAGACAGAAAATTTGAGGAGTTCTTTCTTGGTGGGTCCCCTACTGATGCCTGTCTGGAACCTGTGAGGCACCCTACGAGCCTCCCCAGAGCCTTCCCCATTCCGCCTTCCGAAGAATAGAAACCACTGGAGTCACTGCACCTGTTCGCCGCCACAGATCCGAGATTCTTTAGAAGGGTTCCTATACCACACTCCCCAGTCCGGCTTTTCCCGATTCCCGATGGACAGGACCCATCCTTCTAGGCCTGCGCGATTTCTGCCATTCACGTCCATAGCCGTGCAAGGTTTTGCCGGCGAAGCGTGCGAAGACGTGATTTTCGGAGTGGAGACGAGAAGACACAAACAACGAAGACGTGAAGACACGCCAGGCTTCAGCGGCGTCATAACGGCTTCAACGGCTTCAACGCGGCTTCAATGGTGCAAACCCTCAAATAGCCCACAATTCATGAGATGCCCCCATTGGATCCTTCAAATATCTGCAAGCTTTTCACGCGCACACACAGGAACTCCCGAAATCCGCACCAAAACCCAGACAACAGCACCAACACCATACAGGCACTCTTCCGCTGCTCCATCTTGTCTGGGGTTCTTCAGGGTTTCGAGTTTGCGGTTCACGCTTTGGGGTCCATCATGGTTTAGTGCTTGGGATCCTTTGGGGTTTAGGGTCTTGGGGCTATTCTGGGATTACAATTCTACGGGGTTTGGGCTTGCTCAGGGTTTGGGTTTCTTTGGGGATTAGACTTGATTAGACATTGGGCCTCTTCAGCGTTTAGGGCTTGGGGTTCCTGGGGCTTTGGTTGCGGGATTTGGGGTGAGGGTTTTGTCCTTGCAGGTTTCTTGAGGGCATGGGGTTCTTTTACAGTTCAGGGCAGTTCAGGGTAAGGGATTCTTGAGGTAGGCCTTGGGGTTCTTGGGGGTGTAGGGCTTGGGGCTGTCTAGGGGTTAGTTTTTGGGCTTCTTTTAGTTTAAGGTGCTTCAGGGTTTAGCCTTTGGGGTGTTTTGGGGTCCAGCATTTGGGGTCGTTTGCGGTTGGGGGCCTTCAGGGTTTCGTTCTTGGGATCCTTTAAGGGTTTAGGGGTCAACGGTTCGGGGTTCTGTAGTGTTAGTTTGGGGTTGTTTAGGTTAGGGTTTAGTCCCGGGGGTGCTTTGGGGTTTCTGTCTAGGGTTTGGGGTCTTTCAGGGCTTAGTCAGTGGGGTCCTTCAGGTCTGAGGTGCTTTGGGTTCTTGACCGTCTTTGTGGCGCTCAGGGCTTGCGGGTTCTTCAGGGTTGGGGGTTCTTGAGGGCTGGGGATTCTTTAGGCTTTGGGTTTTTTTCACAATTTTGGGTTTGGGGTTGTTCAGGTTCAGGGCTTGAAGGGGCTCCTCAGGGATTACGATTTTTTCGGGTTTAGCGTGTTTCAGGGTTAAGGGTCAAGCTGTAGTTCGTGGTGCGTCTTTTAAATTTTAGGCTAAGGGACTCTTCAGGGATTAGGCCTTGGGGTTCTCCAGGGTTTAGTGTTTGAGGTTCTTTATCGTTTAGGCCTGGGCTCTGCGGATGGCTGTGTGTTGGGCTCTAGTGGCTCGGGCCAGGTCAGGTCAAGCCTGCTTAGCTCGTTTTGTAGTTCTGGAGGGTTTAGGGTTTGGGGGCGATTTAAGGTTCTTTGTTTCGTTGTGTATTTCGCGCTTTTGGTACGCGTTTTGATTGTTTCGGTGCATGGGTAAACTCGCGCGGCCCGGCGAACTAGCCCCCAATTTGATGAAATCCCGGTCAAACAAGGTGTGCTAAAATCATTTAGATCCCTGAAAGCCCGTTATGTGCAGCACTTCCAAACAAAGGCCCCTTAAACAAAGACAAGAGTTCAAAACAAAGTGGGCCTTCAGTGGGGCTGTGCCCCTTTCAGGAGGATTCTCCGGAAGATGAAGACTCCGATGAAGTGGCTGTTGAGGAGAACCAGAATGAGGCTTGGAACTCCAGTAGCTCAGGCACATGCGCATGCTTCAGTCAGATCTGAACAAGGCTCCCAAGAAGAGCAGATGGGCGTGTGGCTTATGTCTTGATTCTTGATGCATTTTGGAAATACGGGTCGCTGGCCTTTGGCCAAGGCGAAAATGAAGGACTGGGGCAAGCAGAAAAGCATGGACTTGAAAGGCGCGGGGAGCTACGGGGACATGGGTCCTGTAGGAATATTAGCAAGTGTTCAGCGTGCCTGCCTATGTGGCGAGACCAGAATTTTTACATCCTAGCTCACAGTCGCTGATGGCGACATTTTGGTTCGGGGATGACAGGTAAGTAAGGTGCACATGTCACCTGAAGGATACCGAAGCAGTCAAGAGCAAGCTTCAGCATCCATGGAAGAATCGACTCAAGACAAGGAAGAAACAGCCACATCCTTACAGTTCTGCAGCGCAAGGCAATAGTTCAACTGGAGTAGCGCTTGAGCTCTAACATGCTGTGACGCTAGACCAGGTGCAGAATTTGTTGGGCAGCAAGGTGGCCTGGGGGCCTTGGGCAGATATCAGCTTGTCCAAAAGAGCATTGTGGGCATTTAACCTGCATGCGGTGCAGGTTCCGGCAACATACATCGAGATGTTTGAGTTCAATGCCACGGTGATGGGCTTTGGGAAGCACAGGTGGCTTCGGGAGGCTTGGACCTGGCGCTGTGCTTGACCTTTGACTCCGAAAACTTGATGGTTTGGTGAACCCAGGTGAACAGATCATTCAGTGACATCGTGAAAAACGCCAACAACAACGCTCGTTTGCAGGAGGAATGCGAGGTTCCTTGTTCAAGGGGGAATGGCTTAGAGGGAATTTCATGCTCACATCAAGCCTGCCAGGTTCTGGCGCTCCGAATCTGCAAAACAGTCACTGCCCAAAGCATCCAAAGTGCAGAGGGTCTGTCTGAAGCTGCTCTCAAACTGCGAAAGGTGGATGGGGACGTGAATCTGTCCATGTACCGGTCAGTACGCCTGCCTGGTTGGGCGTTCACTTCGTGTCTTGAGTTGGATCCTGGGGCGCAGCAAGGCGATGTTGGCTGCACTGAGATCGATGCTTCCCAAGGCCTACAATGATCAGATCTTTCGGTGGAACTGCTTTTGGAGCAAGATCACATGACAGACTTGGGATCCCAACCACGAGACTGCCTGGAACTGGCTATGGGAGAGCGCCTGCCAACTCGGTATGTAGATTCTTGATTACCTGAGACCAGGGCAGAGAGTAGATCTGGGAGGGAGTCCAAAAGAATCAAAAGTGGACATGTAAGGTTGAGAAGAATCTCCGCGAGATCCTCTACAAACCGCGATCGTGGGAGCACAGCTCTCGGCAAGATGTAGCCTGTAGCCGCTTGGCTTTGAGCACACTTTGGATAGGCCAGCTCTCCTGCGGCTCATGTCTCTTTGGTCAGAGGCCTTGGAACCTCTCTGGAAGATGAGAAAGGTTCAAGGAGTTCAAGGGCAGCAGTTTGGCCAGGAGGAGAAGGTCGCCTTGCGCAACGAGGTCTACGTTCGCTTCTTCCAGGTTGCACCGCAGGGACAGGACCAGGGCGAAGAGCTCCACGGTTTTCAAGGCTTCTGAGCACTTGCAAGCCTTCCAGGATTACTTCAAGCAATCCGACACTCGGCTTCATTTCATCGCCACGCGGGCGATGGACATGACGTCTGAGCCTCTTTCCTCTAGCAAGCTCCATGGCGCATAACAGTTGCAACGCTGGGCTGCTAGGTCAGAGTTGCTGGCTGACCCTTGGGAGATGGCCACGCTCTTACACAGAGAGGTGTCTTGTCTTTTTGTTACATGCTTCTCTGCCCTTCCAGACCGAGCAAATCTCTGCGCTGGGGCTGCGCCATGTGGGCGCAAGCCCTGTGTACTGCACACTCCTCTGAAGTCTTGAAGACATTCTTCCGAGGTTATGGAATCCCCACACATCTCATTGACCCATTTGCGAATGCCTTTGTAGAGGCCGTCAACCGTATCCAATTTGAAGGGTGCTGTGGGGAAAGTTGACCGTGCACAGGTGTTGCACGAGGCCGCACCTGAAGAGGAGGAAGCATTGGAAGCTTTCAGGCAGCTGCAAGTCAAAGATTCTGAGCGGATGCAACATGATGCCAAAAGAAAGCGCCAATTCCTTGCAGAGTTTATAGGTGGTCCGTGGTGCTTGTGGCCAAGATTCTTGTTCGGGTCATCGAAGAGGGTGCCACCATTGTGTGGATGCCAAGCTTTTTCTCCTTCTGCTCCAGTGTGTTTTGATGTTGTGGCAGTTTCAAGACGGCAGTGCGTTCTGCTTCAATGCAATGGCTTTGTTTCATTCCTTGCGCGATGGGCGATGCCCTTGCAAGGACTCAGTATCGGTGAATGAGAACCTTCTGCGAAACGTAGGTTGTAAATGGTTGTAACACGAAAGACAGACTCATCATGACTCATCCCATTCCACCCAGGTCATGAAGGCCATCAACGCCAACTCGGCATTGACCTGTCGGCATGCTTCTGCTGGACACTTCAGTCAACTGGTTAGCTTTCTGGCCTGCCAGGCAGCTTCGGAAGGCTGTGGCGCTGGCTCCTCGTGGGGAGCGTGCTCAGTGGCTGCCGACACCTTACTCAGCGGATCGACTGGAAGCTTCAACTTGCACTGTATGTTTGTGAATAATTAAAAGCACAGATCGACATTTTTCTGTTTTTTTGCCCTGTCATTTGCCATTAGAGGCGTCGACACTTTGCGTGTGCTGCCAAACTCGATTGCCACAGGGACAAAACACCTCGTCTTCACCTGAATAGGCAAGTGGTTGTGTGTGAGCTCCTGACTCCGTCAGGGATTTGGACCACAGTTGGACTGGAGAGTCACGTTGGCCTCCGGGATGTGCTCGAGACACTCGGGTCTACTTGTCTTGCTGTTGTTAGTCTTGTCGTCGTTGCTGTTTTTTGGTTGTTGGTTGGTTGGTGGTGTTACTGGTCCTCAACTATGGATGGAGCAGGAGAAGGACCTCAAGGAGCTTGGCGCCGCACTGGCACTCTTGGAGCACAAGGTTGGACCATCAAAACAGAAGTCCACACGACAGCAGCCACATTGCAATGACCATCATATCAGTCAGTCCAAACAAGTGAGCTCCAAGCATGAATTTGACTCGCGACAAGCAAGCTCCAAGCGTGGTTTTCAGTGCGCAAGCTCTCGGCGGACGGCGTGTATGCTGGAGTGCTGAGCGCTTGCTGATGTGACGGAGTGCCCTGACCTGCTCAGCGCGGGATGCTGGAGAGTTGCAAAAAAAGCTCTCTTGCTCGGATTGCTAAGGGATGCGATTCGATGGGGTGCATGGGGATTTCAGCGTGTGTGTTTGTTTTTCTGCACCGACGGTGTGTACCACGTACATGTCACTGTACAATCTGCACAAACCAGTGTACAATCTGTGCAAACCATGGAGTCACGAAAGCTAGCGTAGCGAGCCTTTCGTTTCTATCTGCTTTAGCAGTAGGCCCAGGCAGCGGCTTGGGGAGGCAATTAATTGATTTATCAATAGGACCCCCCCCCCCAAGGCTGTAAGCAACCAACAACAATGGCACTCGCATGAATTCATCAACATGGTTCTTCCACTTGATCACGTTGGGGATCAATTCCATGAAGTAAGGGATGGTCAAGGTCAGCACGTTGTCTGCGGGCTGAGTAATGTCGTGGACAATATTCCAACACCGACATCTCCGAGATCTCCCTGTTCTCGAAATCAGGTTTGGCCTCTGTGGCACCCCCGCTGCCTTCTCCACCGCACCTTCCGCTGTCAGAAACACCTGAGGAGTGATTAACTTGAGGGGCGGGGCAGGCCAACGAAAGCTAAGCGGGGCTTGGAGAAGTTGTTAGACTCTGGGGCGGAACCACTTCAAGGCAGCTGCGCCAGGCTGGTGGAAGGCAAGGCTTGTGGGAATGCAGGGCCTCTTGAAACTTGCAGGGGTTAAGTCCAACAACCAAACTCGCAAAAACTCGTTTTTTCTCTCAAGCTGAAAAACTTGTCGCTTGCTTCTTGCTGCTGGCTGCTGCTGCTGACGCTGCTGCTGCTG